TTTTTTTTTTTTATTTTAGCCGCTAGTGTTTTGCGAATGATGTTTAACGCATTTGGCGAAGAAGCTCATATATTGGCACTCCGTGATTATTTAACGAAACGAAAGTATCTTACAGCACGTCCTACAGATTTATGGGAAAGTTTCGAGTCATTTGTATCGATATCAATTGGCAATAAAAATGCAAGTATCGAGGAAGTCATGAATACTTGGACAAATCAACCAGGATATCCCGTTGTAAATGCTACGTTAACTAACCAAATAATAACGCTTACTCAGGTAATATTATGTAGATTTTATTAAGCTCTTCTCTAACATTTTCTCACATCTATTTCTATAATTCTATAACTTAATTTAACGTGTTGTAGGAACGATTCTTGATAGACAGAAATAGCTCTGGCAATGAATTTTATTGGATACCAATTGATTTATTCGTTTCATCCAACTTGAAAACGTATGCTGGTGTATCTTTAGAAAACAAAACATGGCTAGGATCAGAGCCTCAAAAAATATTTATTAATTCTATAAACGACTGGTTTATCGTGAATTACAAACAAACTGGCTTCTATCGTGTTAATTATGACAACTCCTCATGGCATGCGCTAATTGACAAGCTAAATAGTAAAAGTTTCGAAGATATTCATGTCTTGAACCGTGCACAAATTATAGATGATCTCTTTAACTTGGCTCGCGCTAATTACGTGGAGTACAATTTACTGATAAAAGCATTGGCATATTTGGAAAGCGAGACAAATCACTTACCTTGGAAAGCATTTTTCAACGGCCTATCATATATCTATAGAAGATTCGAACTGCCGGATGATCTAAATAAAGAGAAGAATTTCCAGGAAGATCTAAATAAATACGTTTTGAAATTATTGTCTAAAACGTACGATAATGTAGGATTCAGTGATCGCGATGACGATAATTATTTAAATAGATTACATCGGGAAATGATTCTTCAATGGGCTTGCAAGTTAAATAAAACAGAATGTATACAAAAATCTGTAGACTTATTTGCGGCTTGGCGTAATAGTTCCGAACGGTAAGATTCTAACAAATTTTGAGTAATAATTATTATACTATGACATTTGTTTTAATCCTAAATATCTAACATACTTTTTACATGTTTTCATCAATTATCTTTTCATATAAAAATCAGAAATTTTTATAT